AGGTTCTATTGCACCCGCCGTATAGTCCAGACTTGGCACCAAGCGATTATCACCTTTTCAAGCATTTGCAAAATTTTCTTGATGGTACAAAACTGGTCTCAAGAGAGGCTTGTGAAAATGAGCTGGTCAAGTTTTTTACCAATAGGGACGAGGACTTCTTCAATCGCGGAATTATGAAATTGCCTTCAAAATGGACAAAAGTTATCGAACAAAACGACGCATATTTGATCGAAATCGGATAATCCTACCTATGTTAATTTCATCGTCGAAATATGCTACGACAATGTTTTCAAAAAAATGTGGAATCTTTATATGATGTTCCCGTGGAGGTTGGAAGTTATCCTCATCATCTTCATCAGATGAGTGATCAAAAAATTTTTCCCACATTTCTAGTACATCCATTTTTTATCTAAAAATGTTTAGTTGTATTGAGTATTAAAGTATAAAAGAAATAACTCAAATAATGTTAAAAAATAGTAACATTAAGAAACGTTTGTAGAATTACATACAATTTAAAACAAACTGTGCAAACAAATCTACCTTGTTTTATCATCAATATACCCTAATGGCATAATTTATCGTGTACGGCGATGTACACGAAAACTAAAGTACCAATAAATAACCAGCTAAAGTCAATGGGACCATATATCACAAATATTTTGCGAAAAATAAATTATTATTTTATTAGAAATTATATAAGAAATTAATTCTTTATAAGAAATCATTATTTTATAAGAAATTATAGTGAATTTGATAAGATTGAAGTTTTCTTAATCAATTGCGATTATATAAATAATCGATTATATCAGAGCTCGAAATTAGTTGCCCATTTCGGCCGATTCTTGGAAGCTACGTCTTCTATCTTTCCCTTGCCGCGAGAGGGCCACGAAAATGACGGTCGCGGCCAGTCACGGCTTGGAGACTCGACCGTCACACGAGCTCTGGATTATATAGAATTGAGTGTAAATAAAGATAAAGTTCTAAAAGGTATGTTTGTCCCAGTATATAGCTAGCGAAAAATGAATGTCCTAACGTCCGAATTAAAATGTCCTACTATATCCTAGTAT